CGACAATTTTTCCACGGGGGGCGGGGGGTGTGGTTCAGGTGATAACGCAAGCAATGGGGAGCAGCAGATGAAGCTTTGCTTGCTCGCCTGCCGCTCACCTCCTGCTCTGTGGCCCGGTTCCCGACAGGCCACGGACTGGTGCTGGTCCATGGCCTGGGGGTTGGGGACCCCTGATATATATGGTTTCAACCATACATAGATTGTTAAGACAATAACAATTGTCTTACATCAAGCAATTTATCTGCACATTAAAAAAGAAAAGGAAGACTACCCTAAGATGATACCAGTGGTAGTCTTCCAAATACTATTTTCTTCCCTATCTAAAACATGCCCCAACACACATGCACACACACACAACACAAATGCAAACATTATGACAGCAGGGATTTTGTTTTATTCACCAAAATCCCCCTGACCTAGAACAGATTCTGGCATATTGAGGTTCTAAATAAATATCTGCTGAATAAAGAAATACACTACTTTCACAATCGGAGAAAAAATTTATTTTTAAATAAATACATTTATTTTTAAACCTTCCTGTTCAAAGATGGACCTCAGAGCAAAGCTCTGAACAGGCAGGATCCACTTTTTCTAGCTCAATACATTGAACAGAATCTTCTCGACTAACCCTTGATGCCTAATCATTGGTTCCTCTTGTATTCCTGCAATCTTATAGGCTGCTTTAGAAAAATGGGGGGAAAAGCCAACAATACTAATTCTGCAAAAGATAAAATAGTAAACATGGCCTTAGTTGCAGGTATCCCTTTCATCCTCCCACACACCTTGTGATTGTAGCAATGGCGCAGGTAAGATCTATGCTAGTCCTTAAAATGGGATATTCTCCTACACACTCTGCAATTCAGAGACCTTTTCTCAGTCAGTTCACTGAAGCCACTCAGAATACGCCACTAATGCAGGAAGAAAGCATTTTTATTGACAGCATGATCAGTTTTTAATCATCTCAAGTATATTATCTATTTGGAACATATGCGGTAAATTCACTCATTCTGGACGCCGTGACATCAAACAGCTGGACACTCACTACTAATGGATGTGCATTTGTTTTACCGTTAGGGAGGAAAATTTGTTGCAAAGCAATTTTTGTAATGTACTTCAAAATCAAATATAAATGACTTGGTGATTATCTTTTATTTTGGATACTTTCTACCTCAAGGGGCCTCCATTAGCAGAGGCGATCAGGAGCAGGCTGAAGTCGGGCTTGTGTTTCGGAAGTCTGAGGTCGGATACTGGTGTGAGTGGTTCTGCTGACGGGATACTGTTCAGGGTGAGCAGTGGGGCCCAAGGCAAAAGCCCAGTTTCCTTCTGTTAGAGACCACAATGTGATGTCACTGCCATCAGATGGATCTTATTAAGGGGTTCACAAATATTTTAAGTTTAAAATATGGACATTCAAATTAAAGATTATAAAATTATTTTTATAAATGCTAAATATCTTTGGATAACAAAAACACAAAAAAATCCAGCAATCTCTGGAATCTTAAATCTTCCCACAGACCAACTTTTTTCCCATTTGTTTTGAAGGAAAAATTTTCAGCTGTGTTACAGGTGTTCTGTGGTAACAGCATTCAAAATTAAGAGAATATCCATGTTTTCATTTAAACTATTTAGCTTTTATTTTTACCATAAGTGGTTTCATACTGTAATATTCTATAATTTTTTATAATTAATGAATTATGCAAAATTTCTATATCTCTACAAATGGATCATTTCATTTAACTGTATGGATGTACTATTAATTCATTTAACCAGTTGACGGACACTGCAGCATTTTTTTTTTTTAATAATTTTTATTTATAACCAAAAATGCTGCAGTAAATGTCCTTATGCAGCTCTCTTATTCGTGGTGAATATTTCCTTAGGGTGGATACTTAGAATTGCTAGAGTATCATTTTTCATTTTGACAAGAAACTGTCAAAGCCTCCTTTTTAAAAAGGCTATTCCAATTTATAGCATTACCACCACACATCCATTTCCCAATATATTCACCAATACCAGATATCCTCAAGCTTTTAAATACCTGCCAATGTAATGAGCAAAATATGATATTTCACTATTTTAACTCACATTTCCCAGATCACTGACTACTCATATTTTTTTCTCTTCTGTGAAATGTCTATTTATAACCTTTGTTCATTTTTCTCCTTTTCTTCTTACTTGTAAATGTTTTTATATATTCTGGATATTAATTCCTTATCTGGTGTAAGTGTTGTAAATACATCCTCCTAGTCTGTCGTGATTTTATCTTTGCTTATACTGCCCACTGTCATATAGAAATTTCTGTCTAGTTTCTATACCTCCAAGTTAAAAAACATTCTCCTATACTTTTTCTAAAACAGAGGTTTTGGCATAGAAGTCCTGCCTTGTGAGGCACTGAGGAGAACAGCTAGGGACTAAGTAGCCAGGGCAGTTCCTCCTCAAGCTCTCCTGCTCTAACCCCTAGAGCTGTGAATTCCAACTTAGGAGCACCTGCTTCTAGTGCTGCTGGGGGAGCAAAGGGTGACACCTGCACCTGAGGAGCTGTTTAGTGGGGGAAGGGAATCAACTGTGGCTCTTCTGCTGCCTGGGGGTACCCACCCTAGGACTCACACACCCCTACCCTGAGCTTATGGACTAGCATGGATCAGGGTGTGGCCTCCTCCATTCTAACACCCGATGGAATAGCTGATACTCCTGGAGGAGAAGGAACTTACAGGCCAAAATAACAAGGTATTTGAAAAGTACAGCCAGTTCAAAACAGAGACAACACAATCAACTACAGATTCTATCAGCAGCAGAAATTTCAGAAGTGAACGACCAAGAATTTAAAAACAGCTATACTAAAAGAAATACAGCGACATGAAAGAAGAACAAGAAAACATAGGGAGGAGCCAAGCAAAAGTACTAGGTATGAAAAATATAACAGCTGAAATAAGAATACAATGTATGGGGCTTCCCTGGTGGCGCAGTGCTTGAGAGTCCACCTGCCGATGCAGGAGACGCGGGTTCGTGCCCCGTTTCGGGAAGATCCCACGTGCCGCGGAGCGGCTGGGCCCGTGAGCCATGGCCACTGAGCCTGCGCGTCCGGAGCCTGTGCTCCGCAAATGGGAGAGGCCACGACAGTGAGAGGCCCGCATAACGCAAAAAAAAAAAAAAAAAAAAGAATACAATGTATGGCATAAACAGCAGAATGGAACAAAACTGAAAATTGGAAGATCAGATTGAGAAAATCTCCCAGAAAGAAGGAAAATACAAATAAATATGTTTGAAAAATAGGTAAGGCCAGAGGAAAAGAAAAAATTTATCCATAATTACCAAGAATTAAAAATCAAGGTAATATCAACGTGGTGGCAGCTGTGGGGAAGGAGACCAAAGGATGACAGAGCTTCCGCTATCTAATTTCCTGTAACTACAATTCTTCGGATAGAAAATTTAAAAAGCAAGTAAATAGAAATGTAGACATTAGGACAAATTAAAATAACAAGGACACTCAAAATCGGCCTAAATATAGAAATAAAGAAACGATTATTGATTCCGGGGAAACTAAAAAACTACAGTAACACTGCATGTACATTATATATATACTATATGGCCCAACTAAACAGTGCTTAACAAGTCATAATAATAAAAGCGGTGAAGCCTTATCTAACCAAAATTATCCCTGAGGAAGATGAGGACATCTTTTATTATTATCAAGCCTGCATGTGTGGCAGGGAGGAAGGAGGAAAGAAAGCCAAATCCTTATCTTCTGGTGGGAATCAAGGGCTAATGTGTAGGGACTTCCCTGGTGGTCCAGTGGTTAAAACTCTGTGCTCCCAATGCAGGGGGCCCAGGTTCTATCCCTTGTCAGGGAACTAGATCCTGCAGATATGCCGCAACTAAGACCTGGCACAGCCAAATAAATAAATAAATAAAAGAGCTAACGTGTAAAACATAAAAATTAAAAGGTAACTAAACAAGGATATTATTTAGAGACAGAGGTAAATGACAAAATAATCTGTCATAAATGAAGGGACAGCGGTTGCTTTTAAGGAAAGGCAATATAAGGGGCAGGAGTGCAGATCTTCTAAACTCTTCCAGAGCTATTCGAGTCTTTAAACTATGTCATGTGTAACTCTTACTAAAGCAAATACTTAAGGGTATGAGGGAAAAGAAGAGGACGCAGAATTCATAAGAGCTGGACTCACCACCCTCGGCAGCTTGGGAAGTCTGGGTCGGTGAACCTGAGGAACTATTTACATCCTATGCAACTAACCGGAAGCAAGCCTCTTCCATGGAAGACACCTGAGGAATCAACTGAAGACAGTCTGTCCCATTTAGAGAAAAAGAACCAACCACTCTATCTATCAAAAGATGCAAACTTTTCATTGTCGTGTGCCTTGGAGGCCAAGGCTGGAGTTGATACAGGTGTCATTAGGGACGAGTTCAACGTCCTACTCCCTTTCCTCACACAGTAGTAGCCGAGGAGAGTTCTCTGGCAAACACAAGGCTTGGCAGGGCTGATCCCAGACTACTGCACCTGCCAGAGTTATTAAAATGACTTCCTCAGAGAGCCCGTTTCACGTCTGCTTTTTCCAAACCGATTAAGAAATAAGTATTTTTTTCCAGAAATAATGACTCCAGCACACCACTGTGAATAACTGATGACTTGGTAAAATTTGCAATGTTGACGCATCAAACACAGACAACAGAGCATGAAGAGAGGATCTTGGCAAAGAGCAATGCTTGTGCTAGTTCACAGTATTTCCATCGTTTATTATTATTAAACACATTGTAAAGACACAATTGCTTTGGCTGTTTCCAAGATAATATACAAAATAAGGTAGACATGTTGAATCCTGTCTTCCTGTTTATTAATCTGAGGCAGAGTCACAGATGTCCAACATTCAAGCATCTGTTCCTATTCCTTGTATATAGGTCCTGAGATGGAGTTTATTTCAGGGGTAGGGAGCAAAGCAAAAACACAGATGGAAGAAAATGGCAGTTCAGGAAAGCCAACGTACCTTCAGCATGTAGTAGAAGGGGAACCATGACAGGAAGAGGTCAGAGAAGAATTCGGCAATGCTGAACACACCATACACTACCCAGTAGGTCAGCCACTGGGTATCATCTTCTTTGTTTGGACTCTCTATCGCTTTAATTCTGAAAGGCAATACAAAAGGAAGTGTATCATGTAGTAAGATCTCAATGAGACATTTTCAAACATTATACTTTCACAGCTAGCTGCCCTCCAACACCAACTGAGAAACTCAGGCAAATATATGCATCATGTCACTAGATGCAAAAGTACAACATGAAAACAGGCAGCAATGTAGAGATGTCAGGATAAGCCATTATAACTACCTGTTACCAGTTCTTTGGCTACCAGAGAAACCAGCACCAGTTGTCCCTTGGATCTCTACTCTGCTTGAGTCTCCACCAAGGCTCCAGGAAATACCACCAATGACTGGGAACTAGAGTAATCCCCACTCTCAAGTGGGGTCCTGCCACTAGCGATATATCAATAATTCACTCATGTAACTCAGTGCTTATGCACTTTTAATAACTGAAGTACATCATGGTGAGGAGGCATTCCATAAAAGACCTTCTGGAACATAGTTTAGGCACTGTCCAAAGTTCACAACACACTTCATTACAAAGAGGTGAAAACAAACATCATGGTGTCTATTTGGTTTCGACTGACATTATGTGATCCTCAGGCTGTGACCTTTCCTCCTCTTATCGGTTAATATGACTTTCTCAGTACTACTGAGAACTACTACTACTTAAACAAAATTTACTCTGTAAATGAATAGAACTAAATTTAAAATAACTTTCTTTTACTTCTGAATTACAGGAATTTCTTCCAGTCCTGGGAATCCCTTCATTCTAAACCTCAATTCCATAATCTTTTATCATATCCTGATACATGCCTGGATACTTATTGTAACTGAGCTGAACTACAACAGTAAACTAGAAGAAACCTGAATCTTGTTTAGCCTGTGCAATGGGTTAACTATTAAAAATACATTGGCTACTTGGTAACACGGGTTCACCAAAGAGACAGGCTGATGAATCATGCTGAGTCATCCCCTAAGAAAGCCTCTGAATTAATTGGAAGGAGCTGTGGGTGTAGGTGTGAGTGCCTGCATGAGTGTTTTAAGAAGACGACTGAGAAGGGAAAAGTTATAGCTGAATGAGATGACTGCTAATGAGGAAAAGGAGAGGAGGGAGTGATTAAATGAATGCTGCTTTGAACATCAAGAATAAACACAGAATCATAAAATGAATTGAAGGCAGCTAATTATAAAATAATGTCTTCTCACATGTGGACTGTGTTTGTGTTTTAGCTTTCCTCAGGTAGAAGCTAGTTGATGTAATAGAAGGCCAAAGGAAAAGCGTAGGCAAGCATGTGAACCAAAGAACTAAAAAATGTATACCCTTTACACGTAAGGTTTTTTTCCCCTCTGCGCTTTATTTGGTATAGAATATGGTTTACCTATTTATATTTAAGTGGATTTTTAAAGTTATCACTACGATAAAAACTTGTTTCTTACACATCCATCCTGGGCAGAGGGGACACATCGTTATATTTCGCTTAAGGTCTCAGTTTTGGGAACCAAAGCAGTCCATGACTAACCAGCAAACACACATCCACACACAAATATAAACTGAAACAAACATTTATGAAACCACTGATATTTTCAATTCCATTCTATGTCATTACTATTTTTTTATTGAAGTATAGTTGATTTACAATGTTGTGTTAGTTTCTGGTGTATAGGGAAGTGATTCAGTTATATATATATGTGTATGTATATATACCTTTTAATATTCGTTTCCATTATAATTTATTACAAGACATTGAATGTAGTTCCCTGTGCTGTACAGTAGGACCTTGTTGTTTATCTATTTTATATATAATAGTTTGTATCTGCTAATCCCAAACTCCTAATTTATCCCTCCCCACCCCCACTCCCCCTTGGCAACCACAAGTCTGTTCTCTATGTCTGTGTGTCTGTTTCTGTTTTGTAGATAAGTTCATTTGTGTCATATTTTAGATTCCACATATAAGTGATATCATATGGTATTTGTCTTTCTCTGTCTGACTTCACTTAGTATGATAATCTCTAGGTCCATCCATGTTGCTGAAAATGGCATTGTTTCATTCTCTTTTATGGCTGAGTAATATTCCATTATGTATATATATAGATAGATAGATAGATAGATAGATATAGATATATAGATATATATACACAGACACACACCACATCTTCTTTATCCATTCATCTGTTGATGGATATTTAAGTTGCTTCCATGCTTTGGCTATTGTGAATAGTGCTGCTATGAACACTGGGATATGCATATCTTTTCCAATTATAGTTTTATCTGGATATATGCACAAGAGTGGGATGGCTGGATCATATGGCAACCCTATTTTTAGTTTTCTGAGGGATCTCCACACTGTTTTCCATAGTGGCTGCACAATTTACACTCCCACCAACAGTGTAGGAGGGTTCCCTTTTCTCCACACCCTCCCCAGCATTTGTTATTTGTGGACTTTTTAATGATGGCCATCCTGACTGGTATGAGATGGTACCTCATTGTAATTTTGATTTGCGTTTCTCTGATAATTAATAATGTTGAGTATCTTTTCATGTGCCTAGTGGCCATCTGTATGTCTTCTTTGGAGAAATGTCTATATAAGGTTCTGTCCATTTTTAATTGGGTTGTTTGTTTTTTTGTTATTGAGTTGTATGAGCTGTTTGTATATTTGGGAAATTAATCCCTTGTCAGTTGTATTGTCTGCAAATATTTTCTCCCATTCTTTAGTCTGTCTTTTCATTTTGTTGATGGTTTCCTTTGCTGTGCAAAAGCTTATAAGTTTGATTAGGTCCCATTTGGGTATTTTTGCTTTAATATTGCCTTGGAAAACTGTTATGCCATTATTATTTTTTTTTTAATTAATTAATTTATTTATTTATTTTTGGCTGTGTTGTGTCTTCATTTCTGTGTGAGGGCTTTCTCTAGTTGTGGCAAGCAGGGGCCACTCTTCATCGCGGTGCACGGGCCTCTCACTATCCCGGCCTCTCTTGTGGAGCACAGGCTCCAGACGCGCAGGCTCAGTAGTTGTGGCTCACAGGCCTAGTTGCTCTGCGGCATATGGGATCCTCCCAGACCAGGCCTCGAACCTGTGTCCCCTGCATTAGCAGGCAGATTCTCAACCACTGCGCCACCAGGGAAGCCCTGTTATGTCATTATTTTTAAGATGTTAGTCAAGATCCACAGATTCAAAAACAGAAAAACTACTCTAACAGTTCAAGTTCAGTCTCTCAAGGAATAAGCTCCCTAACTTAACAATATGAATTCAAAAGTTTCCATGCTGATACACTTGGAACACTCTATAGTAACACTGAAAAGTAGGAAGAGCTCAAAATTGAGCACACATATTGAACACAACTTTGTAGAAAAGCAAGCCCTGGGGAGAAAGACAGGAAAAGATCACAGAGTCTCATTAAGGTAAAGAGAATTTTTAAATAGAACTTCTATTATTGAAGCAGTTAATTACTGTTTTAATTAAAAATACCACAATGTTCATTTTTTAAAATGTGTCTACATGTCATAACATCATAAGCTAGTCAGAACAAGAAAGAACATAGAAGATAGTCTAACCCACTCAGTGTATAGTTGAGGAACCCAAGACTCAAAGAGGTAAGAGAAGCAAAGCGCTTAATACTGGGATTTCCTGAACGCTATTTATGTACATACTGTCTTGTCCAAATGAGTGGATGCAAAATTGTGATTTATAAGCAAAATATATATTTGGTCATTCCAAAGACCAAAATATAGTTCTCCTATATATTTGGTCTTCATCCAGGTTCCTGCACAGCTCCCCAAACCCTTGCAATTTCTGAAGTGTTGAGAGGGATAAAGGTGTCTTTTATGTTAATGAGGTGACTTTTATAAAGCACATAAGGAGGGGAGCTGGATGTCCCTGGAGCCAACTATGTGATTAGAGGGCTGGAACCTTCAGTCCCACCGCTGACCTCTGGGGAGGGGAAGGGGCTGGAGGTTAAATCGATCACTAACAGCCAATGATTTAGTCAGTCATGACTATGTAATGAAGCCTCCATAAAACCCCAAAGGACAGCTTTTTGTCCCTTTTCAGAGAGCTTCCATGTTGGGGAACCACAGTGCTTCCTTGTGCCACTCATGCTGGACCCCAAACTCCATGAGGACAAAATTTCCTTTGTTTGGGACCTCGCCTATGTATCTCTTCATCTGGCTATCGATTTGTTTCCTTTTATAATAAACTGGTAATCTAGTGAGTAAATGGTTTTCCTGAGTTGTGTGAGCCATTCTAATTGAACCTGAAGAGGGGGACGTCAGGACCTCTGATTTATAGCCAGTTGGTCAGAAGCACAGGTTAACAACCCGGGCTTGTTACTGGTGTCTGAAGTGGAAGGCAGTCTTGTTGGACTTTACCTGTGGAATTTGATTCTATCTCCGGGTAGAAGGTGACAGAACTGAGTTGAACTCTCAGACTCGCTGCTGGCATCTGAGAATTGCTTGTTGGTGTGGAGAAGCCTTCGAATTTGGCCCTCTGCACATGGGTGATTCTTTGACAATGTGCTCTACTGCCATGTACCTATGCTAAATGGTATTTCAACTCGCGTATCAGAATGAGGATGTATCAACTTTTCAGGCAACACAGGGGATTCAAGAAATCCTAAGATGCAGTCTCTATCCTTAGGTCATTTGTAATTTTTGGTCTTTAGCCAAAGTGGCAAAGCTAAAGAATGGGAAGGGTAGGAACCTAATAATTATTTAATGTAACCTTCAGAATAGCCCTATCGAATAGGTAACGTTATTCTCATTTTTGAGAGGAAGAAACTGAGGCTTAGGGAAGAAAAATAACGTGGACAGGGCACCCAGCTGCAACAGCAGGAACTGGGTTTACACCCAAGACTAACTCCAACAAAGCCTGTGTCTGTTTCTCTATCCCAAGCTGTTTTCCTAATTGGGAGAACCACTCACTACCCGACTGCACAGCACTTAGCAAAGTGTCTGGTGCTAAGTGGGCAGCTACTAAATATTTATTGCATAAATATAAATACAAAAGGAGTTCATAATCTAACTTTTGGAAAGGACCAGAGTCCTCT